CGGTTCTGACTCAGAGTGTAAACCCTGTAAAGGGTTTCCAAGGAGCAGCTGGTGGGTTTGAACCACTGACCTTGTGGTTCAATCTGACATTGTGGTTCAGTGCTTTATCGTACAGTGCCACACTAAGACTCCATGAATTATATATATCTGTATCTATTATATACTTACATATATATATAAGGAGCTATGGTAATGCAGTGGTCACAAATCGGGCTGTGAACCACAAGGTCAGCAGTTCGAAACTACCAGCTGTTCCACGGGAGAAAGATGAGGCTTTCTGCTCCCGTAAAGATTTACAGCCTCGGAAATACTGTGCAGAGTCGCTATGTGTTGGAACCGACTCCACAGCACATAATCACTACCACCCCACCGTGTGTGTGTGTGTGTGTGTGTGTGTGTGTGTGTGTATATATATATTACTCATGTTTAAGTAAATTATTTTTCAAACTACGTTTAATTATTCTATTGTGTGAACTCACTTCTTGACAACTTGTTATTTTAAAAGTCAGAAATGATTCTTTCATGTGCAATTTTTAAATGATTTGTAAGTCAAGGAGAGCCCGCTGATAACTACAGGTTAGAAAGAGTGGAGAAAATACGTAACTTCAGCCCTTTATAGATTGCAGTCTTCACCCAGGCCCTCTCCAACCCATGCATGCCTGATGTCAAATACACGGTTCCCGTGTGTGGATTCCTAAGTTGTAAGAAAATGTTTCCTCCTATGAATAAATACCAGTCTTCTCTGAGTCACAGCCTTGTTACTGGCAGGAAACTGAATTTATTGAAAGCAAAGCAAGGAAGCCTGCTATCATTGTCAAAATTTAACACAGCGCTATAATCTCTTACTAATGCAGTAAGACGTGAAACTGAAACAAAAAGCAGGAGAGAAATAAGGTACTGTGTTAGATAAAAAAAGAACATTGTATTGTCATAGATTAAAAGAATTAAGTTAAAAAAAATGACTGAATCCAAAATTAATACAGAAAACTCAATTAACCTTCTAATATATCAGCAATGTTGTTGTTGTTGTTAAGTGCCGTTGAGTCAGTTCCGACCCATAGCGACCCTGTACAGGGTTTCCGAGGCTGTAAATCTTTACGGGAGTAGAAAGCCTCATCTTTCTCCAGCGGAACAGCTGGTAGTTTCGAACCGCTGACCTTAAGGTTCGCAGCCCGATTCATAACCACTACGCTACCAGAGCTCCTATAGGCAATGAAAATACATAACTAGAAATTTATTTTATAAGTAACATTAAGGAATCCATAAAACCTACAGGGGAATTTATGTTTTTTAACAATGATATTGAGAGACACAAGAAAAAAGCAAGGGGAAAAAATGGATGTGTTTTGGAGTAGTTTCACGGAAGATATTTATGGCTTTTAATGTTTTTTTCCCTTGATCTTTATAAGATGTTTCTAAAGTTTTTTTAGGTGAATAGATTGAAAATAGTTTACATTTTTATAGTACAAGAAGGCAAGAAAAGTCTAGTTGTATATCACAAAGCACTATAATGTAAAGGCATAATTATTTCAAAAAGTTTAAAAAAGGCCTAAGTATAGATAAACTGAACAAGCATCTCTGAGGAATATGCCTTAATATAAGCGAAAAGATGCTTTCCAATCAACAAAGACAGTAAAGAATGTTACGAAAAATGGTTTTATGGAAAAGAGTACACCAAAATAAATTCTAGATGGATTGAAAAGTTATATGTAAATAGGAAAAAGAAATGAATTTACATTTTAGAGGAGGAGGAGACCCTGGGTGATGCAAACAGTTAACATATTTGGCAGCTAGCCAAAAAGCTGCAGGCTTGAATCCACCCAGAAGTACCTCAAAAGAAAAGCCTGGCATTCTAGCTCTGAAAAATCAACCCTTAGAAAACTCTGTGGAACACCGTTCTTCTGTGATACACAGTGGGTCTCCATAAGTCAGAAGCAACTTATTTGTAACTGGTTTTATTTATAGTTTATAGCTGAATAATGAAGACTTTCTTAACATAAAAATAAACTTAAGTCTGACAATATATATTAAATAAACTACCAAACCCCCACCCCCAACCAAAACAAAACAGTGTTATGGGGTAGATTATGACTCATAGCAACCCTATAGGAGAGAGTACAAATGCCCCATAGAATTTCCAAGGATTCTGTTGTGGCACTGTAGAATAAGCGCTGGACTGTGAACTACAAGGTTGGCAGTTCAAACACACCAGCTGCTAGTTGGAAACCCAGTACAGCATCGCTCTGAGCTGGAACCAACTTGATGACACAATGACAATGACAACAACCTTTAAGGAAGCAGACTGCCACATCTTTCTCCTGCAGAGAAGCTGGTGGGTTTGAACCACTGACCTTATGGTTAAAGGCCCAATGCCTAACCCATAGTGACACCAGGGCTCCGTGCTGGTGGTGGTGGTGGTAAGTGCTGTTGAGCAGGTCCTGATCCACAGCAACTCTATATAGGGTTTCTGGGGAGCGTCTGGTGATCTTGAACCGCTGACCTTGGTGTTCAAACCGACTTTGTAGTCCAGTGCATTAACCCACATCGCTACACCAGGAATCCCAGGGCTTCTTAAATGTTCTATAACCAAAATATCCAAACAAATATACTGCCACTGAGTTGATTCCAACTCATATGATAGGACATTAAGAACTTTCCTATAGGGTTTCCGAGACTACAAATGTGTATGGGAGCAGTCAGTCTTATCTTTCTTTCATTGAGCACCTGGTGGGTGTTACCATTAAAGCTTGTGCTTCGTAGTCCAATGCTGAATCTTCAGCACTCCACCAGGACTCCTTAAATGTATTGTTGTTGTGTGCCGTTGAGTTGGTTCCATCTCATAGCAACTCTGGAGCAGCTGGTGGGTTTGAACCACTGATTGTGCAGTGAGCAGTCCAGTGCTGATCCTGCAGTGCCACACCAGCAACCCCCTAAACAACGAGCCCAGTACCATCTAGTCAATTTGGACTTCTGGCAGCCCTAAATAGAAGCAGACCCTACAAGAGAGCAGAAAGCCTCATTTTTCTCCTATGGCATGACTGGTGGGTTTGAACTGCCAGTCTTGTGGTTCGCAGCCGAGTGCTTATCCGTAGTGCCACCAGGGCTCCTTAATGTATTATAACACACTGCCAGCAAGTCGATTCTGACTCATAGCAACACTGTACAGGCTTTCTGAAGCTATCAATCTTTGCAGGAGTAGAAAGCCTCATTATTTGCCTGTGGCGTGGCTGATGGGTTTGAGCTGCCAACCTTGCAAGTTAGTAGTCAAGTGCTTATCCTACAGCACCACCAGGACTCCTTCAATGTGCTAGAAAACTCACTTAATCCTACTCATAGAGACCCAATGTAGGGTTTCCAAGGCTGTAAATCTTTATGGGAGCAGAAAACCTCACCTTTTTCCAGAGGAGTAGGTGATAGATTCAAACAGCTGACCTCGTGGTTAGTAACCCAACATGTAACCAACTGTGCTACCCGGACTCTTTAAATGTGCTATGTTGTTATTAAGTGCCATTACATCTGTTTCAAGTCATCGCAGCCCTGTATAGAGTTTCTGAGGAGCGGCTGGTGGGTGTGAACCATTAACCTTATGGTCAGAAGTCCAGTGCTTATCTTACAGCACCACATCGGGACACCAACTGTACTATTGTTGTTAAGTGCAAGTTGGTTCTTACTCATAGTGACATGAACCAACTTGCTGTGGCCTTGTATAGAGTTCTCAAAATGCAACTGGTGGGTTTGAACTGCCAACCTTTCAGTTATCAGTCCAGTGCTTATCTTACAGTGCCACACCAGGATCCCAAATATATTATACTGTTATTGGAGCTCTGGTAGCGTAGTGGTTACGAATCGGGCTGCGAACCTTAAGGTCAGCGGTTCGAAACTACCAGCCGCTCTGCGGGAGAAAGATGAGGCTTTCTACTCCCGTAAAGATTTACACCCTCGGAAACCCTGTACAGGGTCGCTATGGGTCGGAACCGACTCTACGGCACTTAACAACAACAAAATTGTTGTTAAGTGCTGTTGAATTGATTCCAATGCATAGCAACCCTGTATAGGGTATCTGAAGCTATACATCTTTGTAGGAGCAGAAAGCCTCCTTTTTCTCCTGCAAAGTGGCTCGTGGGCTTGAACCAACAAGCCTGTGATTCAAAGTCCACTGCTTATCATATAAAGCCACTAAGTTCCCTAAATGTATTATGGTGGCTCTGTGCCATTGAGTCGGTTCCAACTCATAAAGACCCTGTATAGGGTTTCTGAGACTACAAATTTTATGGGAGCAGACAGTCTCACCTTTCTACCATGGTATGGCTAGTAGATTCGAACTGCTGACCTTTCTGTTAGCAGCCCAACTCGTAACCCACTGTGCTACCAAGGCTCCTAAAATTACATTGTTGTTGTTATGTGCTATCAGGCCAGAGTTCTGACTTATAGTGACCCTATATAGGGTTTCCAAGGAGTGGCTGGTGGGTTTGAACTGCTGACCTAGCCACACCAGGATTCCAAATGTGTTGTGTTTGTTCGAGTTGATTCCAATTCACTGTGACCCTGTGTAGGGTTTCCAAGGAGGAACTGGTGGGTTTGAACTGCCTGCCTTGTGGTTCACAGTCCAGTGTTGATCCTATAGTGCCACACCAGGAGTCCCCAAATGTATTATGTTATTGTTGTTGTTAAGTGTCCCAAATGTATTTATTATGTTGTTGTTAAGTGTTGTCAGGCTGGTTCCGACTCACAGTGACTCTGTCTAGGGTTTCTGAGGAGAGGTTGGTGGATTTGAACCACCAACTTTCAGTTCAAGTCAACCTTGCATAGTAAAGAATTAAAATTGAGATGAAGTTGTCTTAGCTTTCTTTGCCCACCAGATGGGGCCTCTTTACTCCATAAACCCATAGTCTTAGAAGATCTGGTTCAGTCCAAGCTAAACTTCCCTTACCCTCACCAAAGTCAAGCTGGTTTAAGTATTTAATGGGGATTGTGGGAGAGGAAAGAGGGATTTGACTTACACACATGGAGGTCTCATTTTGCTCTAGGCAGATGCCTTGAGTCAGTTTCACTTCTTTGATTTCTAAACATTTGATTTCTCCCTGCATTAAATAAAAAGAGAGAGAGAGAGATAAGCCAGCCTCATTCCTTCCTCCCCCTCATTCCATTCTTCTCCACCTCTGTTTCAGTTTGCTTTTAGTGATTTACTTTCCCAAAAGGCTTACAAAATCCAGTTGCTATTGTATTGATTCTGGTTCACGGCAACCCCATGTGTGTCAGAGTAGAACTGTGTTCCATAGGATTTTAATCACTGTTTTTTTTGGAAGCAGATTGCCAGAACTTTTTTCCCAAGAGGTCCCTGGGAGGACTTGAACCTTCAACTTTTCAGTTAGCATTCGAGTGTATTTGCTCAGAGATGTAGGGAAGAGGACATTCAAAAGTTGTCAGGAGACTAGAAATTTTTGTTATATTCCCTCCCTTTCTCTCATCCCTATACCAGTAGAAACTTTTGTCACAAGCCTGGGCTGACAGACATGCAGTCTCTACATATTGGCTTGAAAGATGCAGAAGTGGTGTGTGGGGGTTGAGGGCGTATGGGAGGACCTGACTCTTTGGGCTGTTTTCCTCTCCTGTCAGTTACAGAGCTCCAGTCAGGCCATCCAGGCACACAGATACAATGGAGTGGGGTCTGGCAGATGCCTGGTGGTACCCATGTTCCTCCTAGTCCCTAGTACTCTCCAGATTCCTCTGCTGGCTCCGTTTAAAACAGAAACCAGGCAGGCTGCCCTTGCAGGCCTCTAGGCTCCACCTCCTCATATTTTTTTTAGCTTTTCATGCTGAAAGCTGTTGACAATCATAGGCCCCAAGTCTGTAAAGAGCAGGCTCAGCTCACCACCCAGGGTCTGCTCAGCCCTACTGCTGCCTCAGACCTTCTCGCTGCCTCCCTTAGCTTGGCACAATTGCCAGCCATAGGGGAAATGCTACGTGTCCTAAACACTTTGGGAAATGTAGTTCTATGAAATGGAAGACAATCTCCAACTATTCCCAATGGGGGTTGGTGTCCTGCTCAAAGCCCAGGCTAACCATAGGAACAACCACCGAAGACAAAACCACAGAAGACAGGATAGATCTCTAAGGAGCCAGAGACCCCATCTTCTCACTATTCCTTAGAAAAGCAATACCCACAGCACAAACCTGCAGCCTGGCCCCTTGACTCCACCTCTCTCTCTCTCCCACTTTCCATTTTTTCCAGCAACAATTTAAACTGCTTATGTCCCATGCTGATTCCCACATGACCCAAATCCCATCGGGCAGGATAAGGAGAGGCTGGGAGAAAGTAAAGCTTGCAATACATATGAAGGAGGGAGCAATTTGCCATTTTGGGCCCCATTCACTCACCTTAGCGGTAAATGGAATAAGAGGAGATGATGTGTAGGATGACTCTGTGTGTGATGTCACAGGGATGGTGCTGTTGGATGAGGCCTCTGACACATTGCCAGGAAACGTGCTGGCCTCCAAAGTCTTCTCTGAAGTGGAAAAGTTGGTTGGGGTGGTAGACACTATGAAGGCTAGAGAGGTCTGTGATTGGGTAGAAGAGTTTATGGTTCCAGGTATTACAGTTGTCCCAGAGGTAGATGTGAAGTTGACTGTAGACTCTGGAACAGACCAAACACAAATGTGTGCATGTAAGTACATGCATACACACACACACACACACACACACTTCTTAGAGCACATTCTTGAATCAAGACTTTACAGGTAACAGTAGAGGTATGACCTTCAACCCAGCAAAGGAAATTAGGGAAGTTAACAGTAACCAAACGCATTCCACACCGATTGCAGGGACCACACGTATAGTCTAAAATGTTAACAGAGGTGCTGGGGTGTAGTGAATTATTGAATGTCTCTTCTAGCCATAGTTTGTAACTCTTACTAAACAAGGTTTTTTGCCCTGCTGGGTCTGGATAAGAGAAGGTGGAAGAAGACATTGATAGGATTATATAATTCGGTTTTGAGTGATTATTGTTGTTGTTCAGTGCCATCGAGTTGATTCCAACTCACAGCGACATTGTACAAGGTTTCCAAGGAGTGGTTGGTGGGTTCGAACCGTCGACCTTGTGATTAAAACTGACCTTGTGGTCCAGTGCATTATCCTACAGTGCCACAATTGCGATTGTAAAAATGTGGATTTCTAATGTGTATAAAATGAGCCATCTCAGATGCAGGAGGGAGATTTCAAAAGAGCCAGGAGTGGAGCGAGTCCTTTGGACCCCAAGATTTCTGTGCATTGAAACTCCTCGATCCAGAGACTGAAAGCTGCGACCCTAGAGGAGCAGCAGCAGGAGGACCGAGAACCAGAGCAATGAACTTCTCAGCCCATGGAGCAAATAAAGCTGGAGTCTTGTTTGCAGAGTGGGGTACTTTTGCATTTCAGGCACTTGACTGGGGTTAGGGGGCTAGGTTTGCTGACCCACAGAGCTAGAATGGAGTGTGTTCAGACTGAAGCTTATGGTGGGGTGGTGTGTCTGGTGGGCATTTATCAGCAGTCCTTAAAGAGCTTTGTAACATTGCCAGGGTAAAGAGAGGCCTGCCTGCTGGCGTGCCTGAGGAGAGGATGTCTTGACTGGAACAACTGTGCCCTAACCCTACATTCTAACGTGTAAACTTCCTGAATAAAGCCTATAACTGTGGCAAGTACAGCATAAGCCTCAGTCTGAAGGCACTCCGCTTTAGTTCTATGTGGCCACTGCAATGATTATTAAACCCAGTTGAGTCGAGAGGGCGACGAGAGAAATGGCTGGTATCAATTTTGGCAGGTGCCCTCAAGATTATGAAATTCAGCTGGGTGTTGGCCCACTCAAGAGAAGCCAGAGACCCCTAAGTTGAGCCTGTGCCCATCTTCCTTTACTCAGAAGAGATCAGAGATATCTATGGAGTCCTCGTCTGGACTCAGCAAGGAACCCGAAATATAAGGAGCATTATTTATCAGCTACCACCACTTACGCTTCCTTCCTTTGGACTTAAAGAATTAGACCTGAGAAAGCTGAGACAATAGGAAGAATTATCTAGAACTTCTTTCAGGGTACCCTAAGTATTATGTCCAGATCATTTAAAAAAGTGGCTAGTATGATTCCACTTGTGTAGGAGTGAGGGGCGGTGGGAAGCCAGTGAAGGGATGGGGAGAGTGTTCTGCAAACATCCTAAATGTCTTACTCAGTCATCGGGGCTTCTCCGGGGGGCCTGAGACAAATGTGGAGTGGGAGAATACAGAGCTCAGTCTTTACCTGCGAGAGAGAAATGGGATTTGGAGGTCACTTGGCTGTCCTGAGAGACATGGCTGGGGCTGGTATGGCTGGGGTTGGTAGTTCCAAGAGTACTCGGTGCTGTGGTGTCCTGGTCAGTTACCTTTGTAGAATCAGTTACAGATATTCCTGTGGTAACAGCAGTCAAATTGTTCATATCAGTAAATCCAGAGGCTGTGGGGAAACAAGGAAGAAAAGATTAGAGCCTAAACATTCCTGGACTTCCTGACATTATCTTATTCATTCTCTTGACTTCAGGTAGAATCCATCTGGAACATTTCCTGCTGCCCCTGGCAATAAAGCAGCATCCTCTAGGGCAAGGAATGAACTTCCTGTTACAAGGAAGAAAAACTGCAAACGCACACAAATGCCTATGATAATGTCATTTATAGGAAGGAGCAGTTGCAAACCACTAAATGAATTACAGTAGAATAAATCGTATACACAGTGTTACTGCTGTTTTTTAGTGCTGTAGAGTCGGTTCCGACGCATAGTGACCCTGTATAGGGTTTCCACGGAGCAGCTAGTAAGCTTGAACTGCTGACCTTGCAGTTCAAATGGCTTTGCAATCTGGCACATTAACCCACAGCACCACACCAGGACTCCTCAGTGTTACTAGAGTATCACATAATGTCATTGCAGATAAAATTTATATGCAGAAATAGTCACAATAGGTTAAGTAAAATATTAAAAAATTACAACTGAATATATATTTCAAAACTATTTTTCCTGTTTCATAAATCTCTTTTTTTTGTCACTGTACATCCTGGTGTGGTGCTGTAGGATAAGCACAGGACTGCAAGGCTGTTTGAACCACAAGGTTGGCGGTTCAAACTTACCAGCCACTCTGCAGAAACCCTATATGGGGTCGCTATAAATTAGAACCGACTCAACGGCACTTAACAACATTCAATAAACCAAAATTTCAAATAATCATGAGGTTCACACCATTTCTTTGGAATCCTTTAAAAATCTTTTATCCTTCTCAGATGTCCCCATTCCCAAACTCCCCTCGTCCTTTTTCTCATGGCGTTCAAACCTATTCTCCTTTCCTTTTATTGAAGAACTCAGCTGGAGCAAGCAATCCCAAGATTTCCTTAGGAAGAATTACCTTAGAAATGTAGTTGCTGGACTAGAGAACATTAAAACCTAATATCTCACAAAATGTAGTGGGAAAATATAGAGACCAATTCTGCTCTACCAACAACCAAGCAATTTAATGTGTGTGTGTGTGTGTGTGTGTGTGTGTGTGTGTGCGCGCGCGCGTGTGTGTCAGTTTACTTCTCACTAAAAAGGGAGAGGGGAGTCTTCTCTATCTACCTTACGTGATTATTGGGAGAATTGATGAGATGATACTGAAATACAATAGTATCATGCTCCTGAATCTAGTTATTCTCTGGTAAGTTTCATGGGCATAACTGTTCTTCCCTCCCATACTTCTTGGGGTTGTCAGGCAGTGCCGTCCTTAGAACCCCTGTCTGGACAGAGTGGAGGCCCACACTCGGTTCTCTCGTCTCTGCCCTCCCAGAAACCACTAGGAATCCATAGAACCAAGGGGGACATATTCTCTCTTTTAGACCAACTTTGGGGACCAACTCCTTACTCACTTTCAAGGCCTGTGTGAACCTTTTCCCCGAGTCCATTCTTTTAAGGGAAAATTACATTACTGGGGTGTACACCTCAAAAGAGGCTGTTTGCAGGGAAAATGGTTATGGCTTCAGCATGTAGGGTGGGTATTCCATGCAAGAATACAAACTCCCCCATACTGTGGGCCAAAGTCATGGGGGATGGATTATCTCTTCATCAGTGCCACAGTATGCCAGAGGTTAGCTCTTCCTGCTCGGCCACATTGTGACATGGAATTCCAAGAGTGAGAATCCCAAATTTCAACTTGACCTTCCATGTGGCCATGAAGGTGTGTGTATCAAGGTAAGAGGGCAGAAGATCCTTTCTGTTCCAGTTAATTGGCTTGAGTCTCCATTCTGAAACATTTAGGTATATAGTAAATGGCTCTCCATTTGTACTCGTGCCACAAACTCTGCAAAGGTTAGGGATAAAATCGATATCCAGAGTTTGCACCCCATAATACCACCCTTAAGAAAAATTCCCTGAGGGTCCTGGCCATCCTAAAACTTTCCTCTAAATTTTGCTGTCTGTATTTTTCCAGGTAAATAAGAGGAATGGTGCCTCTTGAATCCCACAGCATTAAGAAGGAAGTAAGCCTTCTAGTTTCAAGGCAATTGGACTAGGGAGGATCTAGAAGGTTTCCTCTATAAGATGACAAAGATTTCACTCTACCTCCATCCCTAACCTATAGCAGTAAATTGATAATAATGTTGAGAACATGAATTGCGCACTAAAATGTGTTCAGTAAGCAGGAGGAAGAAGTCATATTACTGTTTCAGAGATGATGAATAACTTGAAAGACAAAGGTGTTGATTAAGAGGAATGATTAAGGCGCATATGGGATAAGTAGCAATGGGACTGTTGAGATATAGCTTATTCTTCTTTCAACGTTTTGTTGTTGTTGAGAAGATAGTACAAAGCAAAACCATCCCTATTAACATAAATAAACTCACTGACTCCGAAAGGTCCTTTTTAACCTTTCAAGTTGCTCTTGTCAGTTTGGTCCCTAAGAGGATATGCTTAAGGCAGACATTCTGCACTACTTCAGTGAGGTATCACTGATTTTTTTAGTGACTGTAGTAAGAGAGTCAGGCTGGGTGTAAATTACTAAGAGTCTGGATTCTTCTCCTCCTGGGGAGAGAAAACGATGGGCTCCTGTCTGGCTCAGGTAGGAAGTGGGTTTATTAAAATGAAAAAGATGAGTGAACAGGTCCAGATTTATTCCTTCCTTAAATTTATGCGGGAGGCCGGTGGTGATAAGTTTTCAGAAATGGAATTGAAGAACAGCCTCTCAAGGCACCATTCTGAAGCATCCTCCTCTGACATCCCTCCTTCTCCTCCCTGCTCCTAACACAACATTTCTTGGGAATCCCAGCCCCATCCAGCCCTTTTCTCTCTACAGAGGAAGCTGGGCCTGGCTGAAGTGATGTCATGCTTTGGAACCCCCTCCCCAAGGGGCCTCCTTCACCCAGACAAACACATTTGAACTTTTCCAGATGTTTAGAGAGAACTGCTACTAATCCTGAGGACAGAGGTGCATGTTCCAGAAGAATGAAGCAAACGCAGGACCCAGGCCAGCTACTGACCACTAGAGGTTGGATGTCCAGCTGCTTTTGCCTCCTCCCACTCACCACTCAGCTGAGCTCTGAGGAACAGATAGCGGGATCTATCTGCAAACGAGAATGAGAACACAACTTCAGATTCAGATCTCTGAGTCCAGGGTAGCAGGGCAGCTTCTGGGACTCAGGAGAAATAGGACAAGGGAGA